AATAAAACTTGCAAATATAGAAGAAAAGAGATCAGGAAAAGAAATCACACTAAAATGTAACACATTTCTTACTAGCCTTTTGTTTTCTGCATTTAAAAAAAATATTTATTTTTTAGTTTTCAGTGGACACAACATCTTTATTTTATTTTTATGTGTTGCTGAGGATGGAACCCAGAGCCCTGCACATGCCAGATGAGCACGCTACTTCTTGAGCCACATCCCCAGCCCTGTTTTCTGCATTTATATGGGTAAAAAAAAAAAAGTGAGGAAAGGGGCTCAGGGTGGTGGGAAGGTGGGGCTTGCCTGTCTCCTACCTTCTGTGACATCAGAACTCATGCTTGAGAGATGCCTGGTGACCAGAGGTGGGGGAGGGGCCCACCTGCCTGTCCCAGGTCCATCCAGACAGAGTGAGCTGAGGACATGGCAACCCAACAGATGGAGAGCATGGGGCAGGTGGCTGGTGAGCTGCTAGAGGCGAGAAGGGGCGGCCACTGTGAGGACAAGAAGCAGGTGAGGCGGCCAGGGCACGCTGTCTTCCTCCTGTCTGGCCTCAAGAAGAACGGGTCCTCACCCACCTCACCCTGCACGCCAGTCAGGGGAGTCCCCAAGGGGCCCAGGTGCGTCTTCCCCAAGCCTCGTCAGCACCCTCATCAGCAGCAGCAGACCGGGTGTGCCAGGAGGGCCAGGCTTCTGTCTCATGGTCAAGAAGGGTCCCGGGATTCCTAAAATAATCCGTCTGAACACAGAGCTCTGGGGACTTCTCAGGGCTGGGATCCAGCTTCCTGGGGGTTGGGCCAGAATGGAAGATCGCCTGCTGGGCACAGCCTGGCGCTCCTCCCCCTGGGTCTCCCCTGACCTCAGTACTCCTGAGAGGCACAGGCCACCCACCTCATTCACAGGGGGGTAAACTGAGGATCGGGAAGGCCCGAAGGCTATGCAGCTGGGACATGTCAGCACTGAAACCAGGTGCATCTGATTCCAGAATCCTGAGCAAGAGGAACCCTGCCCTGCACGGCCTCCCAGGTGGAGGTCCAAAAGGCTGTAGAGGAGGCTGGGAAGGTCGGCTGTGCTGGCACAATGGAGGCCTGGGCCTCACTCTGAGGACAAGAGGCCATTGAAGGGTCTGAGCAGAGCAGAGGAAGACTGGCCTACATGCTTTCCAAAGATCCTCATTCACTCACTGCCCCTGTTCCAAATGCCTCCTTATGCTAGGCCTCAGCCTCTGATGGGCATGCGGGCTGGCTCCCTGCCCTGCAGCTGCTCCTGCAGAGGGTCCCACAAGTGCCACGCCCAGGAAGCACCCTTTAGGAAAATCACAGACAGTTCTGTGTCTGGGGATTGACATGGTTGTTCCCATCAGGAAGACCCTGAGAAGTCCCACAGGGAAGAAATCCACTAACTGCTGTTTCCCAGGCCACTTCCCAAGCCACACCCCCCCCCAGAGGCCCTCTCTCCTAATAAAAAGACCACCACGAGCATATTTATATTTCAAACTCGAGTTTTGCAGATGGAGAAATCGGCTTAAAGAGAAGAAATGTTTCCGCTCAGGCCCCAAGACAGCACAAGAAAACAACTGTAGATAAATTCTGGTCCCAATGGGCTCCTTCTTTTCCCTCCTGCTAGCACCAAAGAGAGCCTAGCAGAAGCAAAGCACGCTGGGAAAGAAACCAACCTGGAAAGCACTTTGATAGAGGAGTGGTGGGACAGGGAGAAGTCACCCAGACCACTGAACCACGCCAGTGCACTACAGGATGGGGCAGCTCTCAGTGTCTTCTTGAAGAGTCCAAGGAGAGGAAATATATCACCCCCATCTTTGGTGGCTCGACTTTGGGGCTAGGTGCACACATCTGGCCACCACCATCCAAATCAAGCTGTAGGACATTCCCAGCACCCACAAGGACCTCAGTCCCCCTCACATCCCACACTAGGATTCTAACTTCTGTCATCATAGACAAGTTGTGTGTGGTCTTCATTTTCATGTAGATGAATCGAGAATAGGTGTCTCTTTGCACCTGGCTTCCTTCATCCACAGGAAGGGGGGGGGGTCCTAAAATCCATGGCCCATGGAGGCCAGGGGACCACTGTACATAAAAGGGCTGATGTATCATGAGCAAGTGGAGTCAACTGAAGGAAGTCAAGGTTGGTTCAATATTCAAAAGTCAAGTGACGCAATTTACCGAAGTAAGGGGACCCTTACATCATCTCTCAAATTTGTTTTGGCTGTCCTACATCCTTTGGATTGTTGAATACTTTTAGAGTGGATTTAAAAAAAAAAAAACAACATATTCCTAATTCAGTGCTTGTTCGTGTTAAAATTCTCAGAGGACTGGGAATGGAAGAGAGCCCCTCCCTGATACCAGCCCACAATGAAGAACCAACAGCACACTTGATGGAAGGCTTCCACTTTCTTCCCCTTCCCCTCGTTCCTTCACAGGGAACAAGACGAAGATGTTCAGCTTCTCCACTGCTGCTTAATATTTCATCGGTGACTCTAGTCAATGGGGGAAAGTTAACAACCCTTTGAAAGGCTAGAAGGGAAACTTTCTTCATAGACAGCTCAATTTTCCATCTGTGAAATCCTAAACTCTCCAAGAAGAGAGCTATCTGAAGTAAGTCACAAGCTACAAACTCAATTCGATTTCTGTAGAAAAACAACAATTGGGAAGTTAACTCCTTAAGATTTCATTTATAGGAGCATCAGAAACCATGCAATACTTGGGAGGCCTCTACACTCGAAGACAACAAAACATTGTTAGGAGAAAATTAAAGGAAAACCAGGCGAATTCTAGCAGAGGAGGGCTGGTGAGAACCATTTGCAGCACTCTGCTGATGATCATCATTCTTAGGGCATCTGTGTCCAAAGTCCCCTCAGTATTGGTGACAACCAAGCAAGCAAGTTCTGCCACAGGTGTTTGGGAACAGAGTAAGTTGTGTGTTACACATGGGCCAATGGAAAAGTGGGAATCAGAACTTTTCTACTTGGAAGTGACCTTTGGTCTGGGCCATTGGTAAATGCTAAATGATTAAGAGAAAACATGTACTAGCAGTGATTTTTCTCCCCAGTATCATAATGCAAATAACTGGCTCCTGAGTCTGTTTCTCAGAGATTCCTGTGATGTCTGGCTCTTGTTAAAAGGCCTGAAGCTCCAAGGTTCAATGTAAAGATGGAGTGGAGTGCTCACAAGAAGGAAAACATGGTGACTCTGAGAGTGTGTGCCAGGACCACCCTGGGAAGCACGAGTCATAGTGCCTGAAATATTGATAACGGGAAAGCTTCACGTGCACATTCCCTGCATGCAGGTCATCCAGTCACAGAGGATTAAGAACCACATACATTTTTCGTTATCCTGAGTTGACCTAGAATGCCATGGTTGCCAAGCTGTGTCCACTGGGGAACTCAGGTCCATGGCTCCTCACCTGTATGGAGCACTGCACTCAGATGTCCCCACTGGAGTCAGGGTCGCATCAGGGAGGGTTGTTACCATGTGCACCCGTGGAGTGGAAGCCTTTGGGGTTGGAACTGGAAATGTTAGGAGTTAGCCCATCAGAAAAAGAACTCTGTCCTGCTCAAACACATCTTTAACTCTATTTAAGTCTTTCCAGACCATGGTCAAAACCTTGTGGTATCCTTTCAGCCTGGGAACCCCAAGACCCAGCAGGAACCCCTTGTCTACCCTGGGTCTACATCCAGCTCAACCAAGAAGCGCCCCTTCTACTGTGTGGGCTGCTGTGTGTTGACACAATTTAATATCAACTTCGAAAAATGCTATCTTTAGTTTGCACAGCTGATGAATGGGATCTTTACCCTTAGGGAAATGATAATTCCGTACTTGTGAAATGGTTACTAATACTTATTTTAAAGGCGCTAGATTCATTTTTGTTAGAAAATTGAAATGTTTATCTGTGTTCTGCTTGGCATAGCATTGATTTTTCTTTCTTTTCAACAATCTGTACTTAATGTGAAATAACCGATGAAGGATATTGTAACTACTTGACCAAAGGATTTTTGTCTGAAACCATATAATACTTCGCCACTAAAATGTGCATTATTCTGGGCTGTTAATTAAAGTTAAAACAAAACCCTAAAAAAAAAAAAGGAAAAGAAAAGGAAGAAAGGAAATCTAATGACAAGATATACCATGTTCATGGATTGGGAGATACAATATTTGAAGACATGCATGCTTACCAAATGTACAGATGCAATGCAGTATCCATCAAAATCCCAAAAGTTTTAAAAATAGAAATTGGAGAAAATGGCTCTAAAATGCACAGAAAATTGCAAAGAATGTAGAATAGCCAAAAATTGTTTAAAAAATAACCAAGTCCAAAAAAGCACAGTATCTGATTTCAAATCTTACTATAAATCAACCGTTATCTAGATAGTGTGAGTTGTATGAGATATAAATCAATGGAACAGGATAGTGACAACATAGGCATTATGGAGAAAATTGTGTCCCCCAAATTCATATGTTAGGAACCTTAACTTCAAAGTGATTATATTTGCAGAAAGACTTTTAAGGAGTAATTAAGCAAGGGAACCTAATACCATAAAACCGATGTCATTATAAGAAGACATTTTTACCTTTATTACCCAGAGGGGGAAATCCTGTGGATACACAATGAGAAGGTGACAGCAAGAAAGCCAAGGAGAGACGACTCCCAACCCTGTCAGGACCTTGACCTGGGTTGACAGCTTCCAGAACTAGGATAAAACGCACTTCTACTGTCAAAGCCATTCAATCTGTGGTATTCTGTATGGCAGCATTAGCAGATGCAGACTCATACTGCTATAGCTCTGATGTCAAGAAATGTTGATCAATGAAACAGAATAGAATTGAGAAAGGGATGGGTGCACATCATATGTGGACAGGTTTTTGACAAAGATGCCAATGTAATGCCAGGAGGAAAAAATTGTCTTTTTAAAGAAACAATTCTAGAACAACTTGATATCTATATGAAAAAAAATCTCAATCCCTATTTCACATTACATACCAAAATTAATTTAAAATGAATCAGATGCCTAAATGAAAAGCTAAAACAATAAAATAATGTCTAAGAAGAAAACAGGAGGAAATCATGACCTTGAAGCAGACAAAGTATTCTAGACTTCACACTAAAAGCATCCCCACAAAAGGAAAACATTTGATGAATTGGAATTGGTCAAAACTGAAACCTTTTGATCTAAAAAAGACACTGGTAAGAAAATAAAAAGACAAACCACAGACTTGGAAAAAATATTCACAAGACAAATACCTATCAAATGACTAATATCCAAAATACATAAAGGACTATTGCCGGTACACAAATAGTCCAATAAAAAAAAATAAATGGACTGGAGACTTTAATAGACACATCACAAAAAAAGATATATAAATTAGGAATCATTAATATAAAAATAGATTAAGATACCACTACACAGCAATAAAAAGCCTAAAATTATGATTGACAGTACCAAGTGTTGACGTGGATACGGAGCAACTAGAACTCTCATGAATTGCTGGCAGAAATATAAAAATGGAAGAAATACCCACAAAACAGTTGAGTGAATTCTTGTAAAACTAGGCATCAATTTACCACAATACCCATTATTTCCATACCTGGCTATTAGCCCAAGAGAAATGAGAATATGTCCACACAAAGGTGTGTGCCTGTATGATCCCAGCACTTTAATCCATGATAGCCCCACACCAGAAGCCACCAAGAGCCCATCAACGGGTGGAGAGATTCCTTGTGCTATATTCATATCACATAAACATTCACCAATAAAACAGAACACATGGAAACAATGGAAGCTTCTCAGAAGCATATTGAGCAAGAGAAACTAAACACAAAGGCATATACCTTGTGATTCCATTTCTACGAAGTTACAGAACAGGCAAAAATGACCATCAGGTGGCAGGGAGAACATGAGTGGCTCCCTCCAGCAGAGTCAGGGTAAGGAGGGAACTGTCTGCAAAGGAGCAAAGGGACCTTCCTAAGATGATGGACGTGTTTCAGATCTTTGGGGCGATAGATAGTCCACAGGTACAGACATCTGTCAGAACTCCTCTACCTATACGTTGAAACCCATATGTACATTTCATTGTCTATAAATTATACTGCGATTAAGTTAATTATTTTTTCTTTGTGGTACTGGGGGACTGAAACTGGGGTGCTCTACCACTGAGCTACATCCCCAGCCTTTTTAACTTTTTGTTTTGAGGCAGTGTCTCGGTAAATCACCAATGTTGGCCACAAACTTGCGATCCTCCTGCCTCAGCCTCTCGAGTGGCTGGGATTACCGACGTGCGCCACGGTGCCTGGCTGGAGTTGATTTCTTTTAAAGATCAATTAAAATAAAAAATTCAAAAGGGACTCAAGGAGAGAGCGCAGAGGTGGGCCTTCCCTTTCGGCAAACTTCTGCTGCGTTTGGGGGTTTGGCAGTAAGCATGGTGACTTGGATAACCAGAAATAAACTTGAGTTCTAGATACTCTCTCATAGGGTGAGATGCCCAGCCCTCTGCCTGCAGGACTCACCTTCCTGACCCTCCCCTTCTCCTCTTGCCCTCAGACGCTGCTGGCCTTGCTGGTCTTGGTGCTGTACCTGACCACAGGAATATCAGGTGAGCCTTTCTGGAACCTGAGAACGGAGGGGTGGGTGGGGTTTCCCCAGGATGAATGTCTGCAGAGGAGCCTCAACTGCATTTTCCTACCTTCCTTTCCCCGGGGAAGACTGATCCGTTATTCCAACCACCCCTCACTTGCTCCTATTAAGAGGTGGCCTTTGTGCCTGTTACAGGAAGAAGCTGGGAGATGTCTGAAAGGATCAGGGAATGTGGCCACCCCCAGCATCCTGTGTCTCCCCAGGTAACAGCTTTAGGAATGTACAGAAGGACTCTGAGATGCGGGATCCTTGAGGTCTTCCCAGAGGGGTGTGGTTGGCAAGCTGGGCTGGGGGGTGTAAACAGGAGCTGGCCAGGTGGGGCAGGCCAGGAGGGGTGCTCCAGGCACAAAGCACAGCATGTGCCAGGGCCCTGGGGAACCCTGGGAAACCAGAAGCTCACGGCGAGATCTCACCGTACAAACCCTGGTGCCTTTCAGGGCTTTTACTATCACCCCATCGACCCTGCTGAAGAGCCCATCAAAGTCCTCAGGAACTGGGTGAAGAAGAATTTGCATGGTTTCTTGGAGACATTGGAGGAAGAAGTGAAGGAGCTGGAGCGGCTGGTGCGAGACCTGGAATCCTGGCTGGACGCTCTCCTGGGAGAGCCGCACCCACACCCGGAGGAGCCCTGCTCCACCCACAAGGCTCCCCTGTGAGCTGGGGCCCTGGAGCCCTGGGGCTGGTGGGAGAGAACAGGGAGGAGGCTGGGCTCTGATGCAGGATCCAGGCAGCACGAGAATAAACTGGTTGGGAAGCCAGGTCTGCTGTCCATGCTCCCGAACGCTGACGGAAGCAGCCCCAGGAGGACACCAGGGCCTGCTTGGGGGGTGGGGGGGTCTTCCCTGGCCCCAGGACTGTGTCCCACGGGAACCAACTTGGGCTTCAGAGCCAGGCCTGGGTCCAAGACACTACCACTTCCTTGAGATGATGCATGAACTTCTTAACCTGTCGGAGACTCGGTTTCATTATTTGCAAAATTTTGCCTGGCAGGGTGGCAGAGGACCTCCAGGGTGTCAGAGGACCTCCAGGGTGTGCCTGGAGCCCGATAAACCATTCTCTCATCCTTCCCCTTCCCCTGGGATGCAGCAGGAGGGCTCTGCTCCAGGCATGTGTTGTCCCATGGTGCTCCATCCTCTGACTGCACAGAAACCCAGGGCAGGGCAGTTAGGTGACAGTTCACTGCTGGCCCAGCAATCTGCTCTAGAGAAAGTGCCACAACCCCTCCTGCACATGCGTGAACGCTCCATTTGTTTTGTTTTGGTACCAGGGATTGAACCCAAGGGTGCTTAACCCCTGAGCCACATCCCCAGCCCTTTTCTATATTTTATTTAGAGACAGGGTCTCTCGGAGTTTCTGAGGGCCTCGCTATGTTGCTGAAGCTGGATTTGAACTCACGATCCTCCTGCGCCACCGCACCTGGCTATATTAGGTTATTCACCCAAGCTTGTTTCACAATAGCATAAAAAAAATGGAAGTAACCCAAATGACCTCAGTAGGGTGCTAGTGAAAGCAATTAGACTACACCAGAGAACGAGGTCCTGAGAAGGAATATAAGGAGCTTCCTGCCATGTCTGAATGCTGGTGCTCCCCTAAAACTTACGTGTTGGAACCTAGTACCATGTGCTGCGACTCAGCTGGGGCCTTCATGAGCACGCCACCCTCATGCCTCAGGGAACCTCACTGGTCCTGCAGCCAAGCGAGGACACCAAAGGAGGCCATCATCTGTGAAGACCAGGTCCTCGCCAGACCTTGAATCTGCCAGTGCCTTGATCTTGGACTTCCCGGCCTTCCAAACTGACAGTAATACATTTCTACAGTCTGTGAAATACCCAGACCACAGTACTCTACCATGGCAGCCCAACTAAAGAGGACTCTGTCCACCGATATGGAAAAGCCTGCACGTTGTTATTAAATAAGACAATCAAGGTGCAGAAAAGCAAGTGGTGGGCTGGGGTTGTGGCTCAGTGGTAGCGCGCTTGCCTAGCAAGTGAGAGGCCCTGGGTTCGATCCTCAGCACCACATAAAAATCAATAAAGGTAAAAAGAAAAATCAATAAAGGTATTGTGACCAACTACAACTAAAAAATATTTTTTTAAAAAAAGCAAGTGGTGAGGGGAACAGCTGTTGGGGACAATCATGACATCTTTGGCTATTCCCCCCAAAAAATTCTAGAAGGACACAAAATGGGTATTTTGCTTACAAATGAGGACTAGAATATAGAGTGTATGGCAAAAATAACAGGATAGCCATGAAAAAATTGTACCGATGAAAAAAATTGAAAACCCCCCTCTTTCAGTTAATGTATATGAATCAACAGCCCTCTCTCCCGTCCAGGATTTCCCTTTGTTTCTTTCACCTCCAGGAAACTTAAGAGCTTAGTTTTCATTATGGGGATTATGCCAGCTTCACTGTTTGGGTTGTTTACTGTTCCCTTTCTATGATTTTTTTTTGTTTCCTGATTTAATGGAGTTATTATGCATATGCCAATTATTAAATCTACCGAACTCTTGGGAAACCACGAGGCTTCCAATTAAACTAATCTTAGAAGCTATCTGCCTTGCAGGGAATGGCACAGAGACTTCTTTGCCCACAGGAATTAATCAATTGCCATTTGGGGTGGAAAAAGTCATGCAAATCATGATCACAATTTTTCCATTTTGAATATTTGGCAAGGATGGGAACCGGAATCTGTGTTTTCTCATTTGCACCTCTTTAGGAAGAGTTCTGTGGGAAGGAACTGGAATCTGCTTGCATTTATAATCACATTCTATCACACAGGGTTGTGGTGGTTATACTGTTATCCAAACCATGAATATAGGTTCCATAGGTAGTTGGAAGATTCTCAGGCATAATTTTTGACATATATATATATATATATATTCCTGGAGATTGAATTCAGGGGTGCCTAACCATGAGCCACATCTCCAGCCCCATTTTTTATTTTGAAACAGGGTCTAAGTTGCTCAGGATGTCACTAAGTTGCTGAGGTTGGCCTCAAATTACAATCCTCCTGCCTCAGCCTTCTCAGTCACTAGGACTATAGGCAGGCACCTCCACTCCAGATGACTGTTCACAATTTTACCCTAACATACGCTTTAGACACTATTCCCCATCTCAATCTAATTTTTACTGTATCTGCAATATATATGCTTTTGTCATGCTTACATATTGTATTATATGTATTTCTATATTTTTATGTTATACAGGTTGAGCATCCCTAATTCCAAAATCCAAAACCCCCAAATGTTGCAAAATCTGAAAATTTTGAGCACTGACATGATACCTCATGTGGAGAATTCCACACCTAACCTCATGGGCACAGCAGGCAGAACACATTGTATGAATTACCTTCCGGCTACAGCATTCACTCTCACACGTGAGACAAATGATTAGGTTATGGGACCAGTAACCTCATCAGTGGGTTAATCCACTGATATGGATTAACTGTGGGCAGGTAGGGTGTGGCTAGAAGAGGTAGGCCCCTGGAGTGTGCCTCTGGGTTTAGACTTCGTCTGGTGAGTGGATCTCTGTTTCCTGGTCGCCATGCCCTGAGCTCCTTTCCTCCACCACGTCCTTCCTCCAAGGTGTGCTGCCTCACTCAGACCCAGAGCAATGGAGTCATCCGAGTATGGACTGAATCTCCAAAACCGTGAGCCAAGATATACTTCCTCCTCTACGTTATTCATGGTCAGTTATATTGGTCACAATGATACAAAAGCTGGCTAAAACCATCCCCAAGATATCTCATTTCAAAATATGTGAAAATTCAGAACAATCCGGAATTCCAAACACTTCTGGTCCCAAGCATTTCAGATAAGGGATATTCAATCTATGTATAAAATGTAGTTACATATATATATTTATCATATATATTTATGTATGTAAAATATATAATATATGAATTATATTTATAAATAAAATTTATAAATTATATATATATATAAAATAAGAATGCTTTTTTTTTTAAAAAAGGCAAGAGGGCCAATATCCTTGAGGAATTAACGTCCTACTATGAACACAGAGCCTGTGAGCAGAGGAACTAACTTCCCAGACACTGACCCAGGCTCCCCTGCACACACACAGGGCCCACGAGGGCAGCCCTTGCTGGTGTGGGCCCCAGTGGATACCATTGTCATGTTGGCAGTGAGCCCCTAAAGAACGGCAAGCCTCTTAGGGTAACTCAGGCAATAAAGGAGTTATATGACACAAAAAGGGAGCCAGAATCTCCCTGAGATCCAGGAACACACCATGCCCTGTGACCATGGAGCTTGGAAATGAGGGTTGTAAGAATTCAAGATGGCACCAGGGCTCCAGCAGCAGGAGCGCCGGGGCTTTTCTCCAGCACAACAACTTCACCTTGACGTGGCCACTCTCTAGTGCCTGCTCTCCTATGTGCCTCTGTCCCTTCTCATGCTTTCAACCTTCTGTCTGCTCCTCTGCACCTCCATAACTCTGATTTTCTTATAGCCCCAGGCAGCCATTCCCATTTTAGCTAGATTTTTCATTGTTGTGACCAAAACACCTGACAAGAACAACTTAAAGGAGGAAAAGCTTATTTGGGGCTCAGGGTTTCAGAGGTCTCAGTCCATAGGCAGATGACTTCATTGCTCTGGGCCCAAAGTGAGACAGCACATCAGGGGGACAGGATCCAGCAGAGGAAAGCTACTCCCCTTTTTGCAGCAAACTGGAGGGGATGACTGCAGGAAAAACAACCCTTCTAGCGCACACTCCCAGTGACACAAATCCTCCATGCACCTACCTATTGTCACCACCCAGTCATTCAAATGAGGATGGGCCAGTTAGGTTACGGCTCTCATAATCTACTCATTTTACCTCTGATTATTCTTTCATGAACAGGAACTTTTCACTAACAGTACGCCTCATATCCAAATCACAACATTCGGCTCCTGGCTCCCAAAAGCTCATGTCTATCTCACAGTACAAAACACATTTAGTTCCTCTCCAAGAGCCGATAGTCTTATGAGCTTTAGCATTGTCCAAAAGTCCAGCCCAAGTCAAAAGTGTCCTCTGAGACTCAAGGCAAACAGGAGACTGTGAGCCCATGGAAAAATCAAAAGCAAGGCACATATATAGGCACATATATCCAACATACAATGGCACAGAGTGAACATGCCCATTCCAAAAGAAGGAAAAGTGGCATGAAAGATGAAATAAGGCCAAAGCAACATGGAAACCCAGGTGGGCAAAAACTCCAAATACAGCATCTGGAACATATGGCAGAGAGATATTTCCAAAGGACTTGGGCAGCCTATATGGCCTCTCTTGCAGCATTGCTCTCTCCACAGCCAGTAGCTTTTCTTGGCAGGCAGTCCACAGTACTGGCATCTCTTAGTTTCTGGAGTCCCCCTTCCAGTTTTGGCTTCACCTTTACAGGTTCATGTGGTGCCTTCTGGGAAGCAACCCACAGTGATTTCCTTTGAAATCTTGTTGGACACCTCCATGACCCCTTAACTTTAGTATCCTGCATTTCTGCAGAACCAGCACCACATGAATGACACCTAGATCTGCTTCCAGCTCACACCATAGCTAAGCTCCTAGAGATCATGGCGGCAGTGGCCTCTCAGTGCACCTGTATATCTCCGCATAGTGAAATAACTTCCTTAGCCCCCCCCCCTATTCAAGTAGGATACCCATCATGACTCAAAGGAATTTTTACTTTTACACACTTGAGCTTATGATGAGTGTGATCTTGCCAAGCCTTGAGATGCCCTCAAGCCAACTTTACTAGTGTCTTTCT